ACAGTATTTAGATTTTATTGTATGTTTTAAAGAGTAGGGAAATAGTTATATATTTAAATGTCGGTCTTCTAAATTGTGAGAAATTATATGCTTTACAATTACTTGAACTTACAAAAAACCATTTCTCCACTTAAAAATGTGAAAGTATTTTATGAGATATGTGGAGTAAATGTCCACAGCATATTAGACACCATGCTGAGTCTTAAGAAATATACTGCATTTATAGAATTTACTACCAAATCTCATGAAGGTGTTGCCTCTGTTCAACAGGATGGTCTGACACCACTGCACTGTGGGGCAAGAAGCGGCCATGAGCAGGTGGTGGAAATGCTGCTTGATCGAGCTGCCCCCATTCTTTCCAAGACCAAGGTAAGATCTTTTCAGGTTTCTGAACATTAAACTGTATTTAGCTTTGAATTCCTTTGCTGATTATTTAATCAAGCCTTTTGAATTTCATAGGGGAAAAATGGGTTCAATTTAACAATGAGAGTAGCACTGTTCATCAAATCTTGGGAGAAGTTTAAAATAAGTGTGGGTTTATGAAGCCTTTATGTGGAATGCACTAGTCTATGAAGTTGTTTTGTGTGTGTTGTTTTTGTTTTTTCAGAAATACTTACTACTTGGTTTCACTCTATGAAATTTTCATAGTTCCGAAATGATTGCTTGATGGGTTAAGATAGACTACAAAGATCTACACGTTCCCAAATCTAGATGCTGGCTCTAGCCTCTCAGTTTATTTCTTTAGAGTGCACAGCTGACAAAAAGATAAGAATATCACTTAGCAGATACAGATGGGAAATTTGAGAAACCATACATTGAGTGGGCCTTTGGGAAAGTGGACATATCTAAAAGGAACAAGGTTGCCTGAAAAAAAATTTAATGTTTTACTACATGTCTTGTAGGTTTTCTTGATGGTAAAACTTTATACAGTATTGGGTAGGGAAAGAATATATACAAATGATTATTGAGATACACAAATTACCTGATAGTCACTACTATTTTAGATAATTAAACCAGTGGTTTGGGGAAGCTATATTAAGCTATAAAACTCCTTAATTTCTGGGTCAGGGATATAGCTCAGTAGTAGTGTGCTTGCCTGGCATGCACGAGATCCAGGGTTTGGTCCCAGCATGACAAAATCATTAATTAAAAAGAGACAAGATCCTTAATTTCGAAACAGTATCAAAGCAACACAATCACATGTGATTCCCCTTTGCTCTCTGGTCATGTTTCCTCAACAATTCTAGGAAAACTAAACAGGGGTCAAGGTGGTCTGAAGAATTCTATCACTTATTTAAATGAAGGATTTAGATTGGTAAAAAAAAAAAAAATCGGGGGTATTATTCAATAGAATTAAGCAGCCACAAATTTTTAATTGTATATGATGATACCTAGGCTTCCTGCCCTCTCCCCACCCACCCTTGCCACGAGTATTTGGAATTGAACCTGGGCTTCAAGTACACCCAGTCCCTAATTCCTCAAATTTCCTTTTTTTCCCATTTGCTTTGACTCTATTTTTTTTTTTCTGTTGGAAGATTCCCATAAATGTCTGTATCTGAAACACAGGTGTCAACTTCAAGTATTTGAGAAGGTCTTTGGTTGTACACAGGGCTGATGATCAGGTGGTGGTGGGATGGAGATGTTCTCTAATGTCAGGATTAGATGTCCTTTCATTCGGGCAATTCCGGTCTTCGAGAGATAAATCCTCTAATCTTTTGCCCTGTGCACCTGTGTGAATGTCTTCTGAGTGAGGTAGAAGAAAAGACTGTCAGTCTTCTTGTTCTTTATGTGTAATTGAAACATAATAATGATAACTAATATTTACATGACTGGCGCCCACCAGGCTCTGTGCTCACTGAATCCTCACAGTAACTCTGTGAGCATTGTTGCTCTGCATAGAAGAGGAGCATGAAACCCAAAGAGATGAAATAGCAGCTAATAGCAAAGCAAGAATTTGAAACCAAAACATCTGATTCCAGAAAACCATATCCCTAACACCTATATTGTCCTTCCTTTTCTGGAATCATCTGGTCTCACCCCAAATCCTCACCATTGCCCTCTGCTCTGCCTGAGGACTGAGTGTGAATCTTTCTCGATCACCTTCCGTTAAGTGGAAGGGGGTTATAATCTGATTTGCTGGGTTGGGAAGGGTCTGGAAACCTAACAGCTCCATATATAGACTTTGAACCAGTCCTGCTTTCAGCCCTAAGTCTCATCTTCTAAGGTGATACTGTTCCATATCTTTTTTTTTTTTTTTTTGAGGAGCTGAGAGGTAAATCAGCTGGTCTTTATTATACCCAGCAATGTACTGGAGCCAGATTGTGTTAGCCCATAAGGGCCAATTGTGCATATCTCTTCTGGATTCCACGTTTGGTAATCACATTGGCATCTTGAAATTGGTCAGAGCAGGGAGTCTGTACACCATGGAAATTGGAAAACGGTACACACTGGGGCTTTTCTTTTTCTAAAAGTTATTGAACACTGGTCAGCATGCCACTGATTGTGTCACCCCACAACACCCAGATAGCAGCCTTCTCTCTTCTGCTAGATGAACTACAATGGTTAAATCCTCCTTTCATATTCAAAAATGTGTTATAGTTTCCTTTCCTGGTGTGTATGTGTGAATGTAAAAGCATGCAAGCATGTGCTTGCCTTTGTGGATTATACCCTCTAAATGACTTCACTACTCTTTGGTGGAGTTTGGGAGAGGAAATATATATCTGTGTTGAATCAAAAGTTACTTCCTACACTGAGGATAAATTCCTTACCACATTCTGCTCTGCTCCCTGCTTCACCCCGCTTCTTGCTCACCACCCCGCCTTCTTTTCTTCCTAGGATATACCAAGTTTGTTCTCATTAACTGCTTAGTTTCAGTTCCCTCCACTTGTCAGAGATCTCTTTGATCTCAGTATGTTCTCCAAACTGGGATGTCTTCTTCTCAGGCCTTTTTTTGACTTTCTACTCCTTCTATCCTCACCCCTTACCTAAGTAAGTATTATTTGACCGGATTTTATGTCCTTTGGGGCTGTCAGAAAATTATCTCTTAGTTTGTTTTCTTGCTCACTGGGTAGTTTTCTTCTGTATTATGAAAGTCGGGACTTGTCTAAGTTCAGTCCTATGCCCCTAAGTACCCAACATGTATTAGGCCTTTGATAAGTATTTGTTGGAAGAGTATTCAGTGAATGCATGCATTATGAGCTCTTTTTTTTTTGTATTTTTTAAATTTATTTTTTATTTTTTTTAATTCATATATGACAGCAGAATATATTACAATTCTGATTACACATATAGAGCACAATTTTTCATTTCTCTGGTTGTATACAAAGTATATTCACACCAATTTGTGTCTTCTTACATGTACTTTGGAAAATAGTGATCATCATCATCATTTCTAATCCCATGCCCCCTCCCATCCCCTTCAACACCTATGCCCTATCTAGAGTTCATCTATTCCTTCCATGCTTCCTCTCCCTATCCCACTATGAATCAGCCTCCTTATATCAGAGAAAACATTCAGCATTTGTTTTTTGGGGATTGGCTAACTTCACTTAGCATTATCTTCTCTAATCCTATCCATTTACCTGAAAATGCCATGATTTTATTCTCTTTTATCGCCGAGTAGTATTCTATTGTGTATATATGCCACATTTTTTTTTATCCATTCATCTATTGAAGGGCATCTAGGTTGGTTCCTCAGTTTAGCTATTGTGAATTCTGCTGCTACAAACACTAATGTAGCTGGGTCCCTGTAGTATGTTGTTTTTAAGTTCTTTGAGTGTAGACCCAGAAGAGGGTGAAATGATGGTTCCATTCCCAATTTTAAAAAAAATCTCCATACTGCTTTCCATATTGGCTACACCAATTTGCAGTCCCACCAGCAGCATATGAGTGTACCTTTTTCCCCCCACATCCTCGCCAACACTTATTGCCATTCTTTTATAGCTGCCATTCTGACTGGAGTGAGATGAAATCTTAGAGTGGTTTTGATTTGCATTTCTCTAATTGCTAGCAATGATGAACATTTTTTCACACATTTGTTGATTGATTGTATGTCATTTTCTGAGAAATGTCTGTTTAGGTCCTTGGCCCGTTTATTGATTGGGTTATTTTTTTTTTTTTTTTGGTGTTTAACTTTTTTGAGTTTTTTACATACCCTAGATATTAGTGCTCTATCTGATATGTGAGGGATAAAGATTTACTCCCAAGATATAGGTTCTCTGTTCACTTCACAGATTGTTTCTTTTGCTGAGAAGAAATTTTTAGTTTGAGTCCATCCCATTTACTGTTTCTTGATTTTTAATTTTTGCACCCAAAAAAGTCTTATTAAGGAAGTTGGGGCCCAATCCGACATGACGAAGATTAGGGCCTACTTTTTCTTCTGTCAGACGCAGGGTGTCTGGTTTTATTCCTAAGTCCTTGATGCATTATGAACTTTAAGGCCATCTTTCCTGTCCTTTCAGACTTTTCATGCTTAATTCCATCATCCTAGATCCATATTTTCAGATGCTATATGTGCTGTACCTATTTTCCTTTGGTCCTTCCCAAAGGACCCGTAAGTTTCCCACCCATTCATCATTATTTTGTATCATTAGAGTTTCTTTTTATCATCAACTCTGCCTCCCTCTTCTCCACTAAGTCATTTGCTCTCTCAGATTTTGTTTATTTCGTGTTTTCCTCCAGGACTGTATCAAAACATAAAGCAAGGGAATGTTTGGCCTCAATCAGCTAGTACATATGCTTGTGGGTGGCAGTGTCTCAAATGGGAAACTTTCCCAACCTTTGTTGCATCTTAGTTTCTACTTTGGTTCAAAATGTTTCAGGGGAATTTTTCAAATAGAAATATCCTGATTGACAGTACATAAATATTTATTAAGTATTTTTTGTATATTCAGAGCTCTCTGCTGGGCAATATGGAAAAATATAGTCATAAACCTGTTGCCGTCAAGAGATGTAAATGGTTGAAATATGTGGTAATGAGTAAATAATACCATGAGGGTAACTAAAGAAGGGATTATATATTGTTTCATATATTGAACTCCTTTTTATGTCATTCATTGATAAATTAGGAGGAAATAAGTTGGCCCAGAGAAGTCGGAAACACTTGCTTCATTGTACACGTTCGACATATCATTACTTTCAAAACTCATCGATGACAAATGTTTTTGGGAGCTGAATTTGCTGTCGTTACATTTTTACCAAAAATTTGTTAGATTTTAGTAATTAATAGAGCTTCTCTTGATAATTAGATTTTCTAGGAATTTCCCAGGCTCCAACTTTGCTGCCATACATATGTATTTATATTTGTATGTGTGTATTGGGGATTGAACCGAAGGCCTAGAATATTCTAAGCATGTACTCTGACACTGTGCTACATCCTCCACCCCATGCTAAAAGTTGGGGGGGGGGAGTTGGGGGGGTTGTTAAAAGTGTTTTGTTTTCAAAAGCCAAATGTTTTCTCGGATAAGCAGATGCTGATCCATAGTGAGGCAGGGGGATAGGGAAGAATGAAGGAACTTTGGTTTGTGTAGAGGGGAATGATGGGAGGGTTAGGGTTGTGGGGAAGGGAAGGATGATAGAATGAGACAGACATTATTACCCTATATACACGTATGATTACACTACTGGAGTGACTCTGCAGCATGTGCTGCCAGCGAGATGATTCTACTGTAAAATAAATTTTTTTTTATTTTTGTAAAATAAATTTTAAAATAAAAAGGTTTGGTTTACTTTTGACCCTATTCATGTATTCTTTGATCTCTTTACATGAATTTTCAACTCATTCATATTGTACATGATTAACTGTCATTAAACTCACTTGATTTAAACTAAGGCAAGCATTAGTGAGCCAGCGCCTTGCCTTTCCTCTGTAGAGACACACGGGGGCACCAGATTTATAGAAATGGGAAACGTTTTCCTCTGTGTTGATATAAGGTGAAGTGTTTTGTTGTAGTCAGATATTTTTTTGAAAAAATTGAATCAATGCCATGTTCAGTATCAAGCATTAATAAACTACAAGGCAAGGTAAATACCAGTCCAGTGATTGCCAGTCTGTTCTTGCCTTTAATTTTTCCTTTTAGTCTTAAATAGGAATTCCTGTTCATTAAGACTGCAGTATGGACTGGGGTTGTGGCTAGCATGTGTGAGGCACTGAGTTTGATTCTCAGCACTGCATTAAAAATCTAATAAATATATTGTGTTCATCTACAACTAAAAGTATTTTTAAATGCAGTGAATTCTGGCCCCTAATAAAAATTTTACTACTACTAAATCAGGGAAAGAAATTATCCTTGACAATTCATTTTTGATTGATAGGAGAAGTGGGAGGACCAGTTTTTAAAGTAGCTGGAGTTCAAAATGGTATCAAAACCTTTTAAAAACAAGGTATTTCCATGTGAGAAACTAGAGTTTTCTTGTGTTCACAGTTGTGTTGGGAACATTTGTGTTTAAAAGGTAAAACAATAAACCTGAATTTATTTGTGTGTTCCAGAATGGGTTGTCTCCACTGCACATGGCCACACAAGGAGATCATTTAAACTGCGTCCAACTTCTCCTCCAGCATAATGTACCTGTGGATGATGTCACCAATGACTATCTGACTGCTCTACACGTGGCTGCCCACTGTGGCCATTACAAAGTGGCCAAGGTTCTCTTGGATAAGAAAGCTAACCCCAATGCCAAAGCCCTGGTAAGTGGAACCACCAGTGAGCCCAGCCTGAGCTGTCTTGCTGGCGATATGCTAGCTCACATGTGAAGAGATTGCTTTCACAGAGGCAAAAATGGATGGTGTTCTTTAAGTCAAGTATGCTTTTTGCCAATGTCTTCAAATGCCCTTCTTAGAATTTTGTAGAGCCTTCTATTTCTGACGTGAACAAAGCTGATGGAGTTAAATTGTTAACCCTTCAGGGTCATAATTGTGATTCTTTGATATAAATGCAACCCAAGAACTGCACAACTTATAAAAAGGTTGAAGTGCTCAGCCTCAACTTACGATAGGTAAAATTATAGTTGTGTGAGTTAAGAGATTTTTTTTCTGAGATCTAAAAGCATGAGGCAAAATGATTTAAAAAAATTAAAAGCACCTCTACATAGAAATTTATGAGCCAAAATTTTGTGTGGACCTTAACAAAATGTTGCCTGTTGTTTTCATCTTTCTTTTGACAATCAAAATGCTGGTCTCATTTGCAGTCTTAACTCTGAAAATAATTCGATCTTTTAACCTTTAAATGGGCTGTATTTTGATTTTCTCAACATGATAGTGTGTGTTGTCTTTGCAAAGATGTACGGTCCCAACTTAGTAAACTATTTAAATTTAGTTTAGAATAAGCACCCATGCATAGCGGGAGGAAAAAGTCACCCGATTTTAGGGAAAACATGCAAAATTTATCAGTTTTGTGGTAAAACCTGACATCCAGTCCACCCTTCAGGAAGGTCTCTGCTCCTTTCCGAATGGTGCAGTTGTCTAAATGGATCCATAGTGTCTCCAGAGCTCTCTGAGCTCTGAAATTCAGAGAGGCAGCAAAAAATGAAGAGCAGGAACTCTCCAAACCTTGGATGACTACATTGCCATTGTAATTCTAAAAGTGCTTATCCAGGTAGCACTTAACAACTCTTGACCTGCTCAGTGTGTCAAATGTGTCTGAATTCTCAGAAGGGAGGAAAAGAAATTAGCAATCATGACTCATTTTTCCATACAAGAAGAAAAAGGTCTTAAAACAGGGTGTGGGCTGTCATTCTCATTTTCCTATGACTCTGAAGATTTCACAACATATGGAGGTTGTAACCAGTCATCCTGGCATGGACTATGACCAGAGAAATGGTCTCAGGAACCTCCCTGAAGGCACCTGCAATGACTTTGACCTAAGTGCTTATCATGGACTTGCTATTTGATAGTTCTCCATTAATGGCTGAAGTTGGTAGACAGTCTCGGTTATTGGGATGGATAATTTGATAGGTAGTTTGTTAAAAAGCAGATTATTTCATCAGATTCAATATTAAAGCAAATGGTTCAAGTAATGTTGAACTCTTCAAATTTATACTTCCTTGGAGTAAGCACCTACTTGAATCTTAAAGCTTGAGAATAAATGGAAACATTTTAGAACTGGTCTTATAGTTATACTAAAACACAGCAGGAAGTCAAACAGGCAAAATGGAGAAGTTTGACTATAAGGATACACGTTTGAGTCGAGCTGTTTTTACGATGTGTTTGAAGTGAGATTGAAAAGGGATATTATTTAGGGGAGTGAATGCCAAAATAATAAGAAAGTGATAAGTATCTTGCCTTAGCTACCAAGAGATCGTGACCAACACTTACTTCCTCTTCACAACTATCAGGACATCTTAAGCTCCTAGAGGCCACTATACTACCTGTGCTCCCAGAGAAGGATCAACATTCTGTTTAATTCCTCATAGTTTTTCTGTTTATTTTGACATTTGGAGGGTGGGGGTTGGGGAGAAGGAGTACCAGGGATTAAACTCAGGGGCACTCAATGACTGAGCCACAACTTCAGCCCTACTTTGTATTTTATTTAGAGACAGAGTCTCACTGAATTGCTTAGCACAGTTGAACTCACAATCCTCCTACCTCAGCCTCCTGAGCCACTGGGATTACAGGCCTGGGCCACTGTGCTGGGCCTATTTTGACATCTTTACCATACAGCATTTTAACTGTATTGTAATATTTCACTGCACAAGATTAAAATGAGTTTCAGTGGAAAGTAATCAAACAGATTCATATTTGTCCCTTGCAGAATGGCTTTACCCCTCTTCATATTGCCTGCAAAAAGAATCGAATTAAAGTAATGGAACTCCTTCTGAAACATGGTGCATCCATCCAAGCTGTAACCGAGGTAAGAGGAGTGGGATTTCTGGGTTTCTTGAGGTGCTGAGAGAATAGGCAAAGTTCCAGTACCATCTGCAGGGACTAGCTAGTGCTGTTTGTGTGTCATTGCCACAGACCACATTCAAAACTCTTCAGGAAAAGGGCTGTCAGGCATTTGAAGAAGCAGACAGGAGTGTGGGTGGGTAGAAACAAATGTATCCCATGACTAGACATACAACCCAGAACACTGCGAGTGAGTGACACCATCACAGAAAGCTCAACATATGAAAACTTATAATGTAGCGCTTCTCTAGTGGAGGTGACTTTGTCCCCTAAGAACCACTTGGCAATGACTGGAGGTATTCTGAGTTGTTACAACTGGATAGTACTCCTGTTGCTCTTGAGCAGAGGCCAAGGATGCTGCTAAACATTTTGCAAGCTACAAGATATCCTCCTCCTACTATAAACAGTAATCTGGCTCAAAATGTCAGATGCACTAAAGTTGAGAAACCGTGTTTGACCATGATCAACCATGATCTGTGTGCTTTTGTACATCAAGGATTACTTTCTTGGCTGAAAAGCTCACAATTCATGAAACACAGAGTTGCCAAAGGTAGTGAAGGACTAGCTCTAGATTTCTTCACAAACAGACTCAGACACAACCCATCAGAATCAGAACTGAGCCTTCAGTATGGCAAACCCAATCTAGCCTTTTCCCCTCCAGACTTGTCCCACCCCTAACCCTACCCTCCACAGATCAGGGCCACCTTCTCCGGGAAACTTCCCCTTCACCTCTGGTCTGAACTAGGTGCTCCTTCTAGGGACAGTCACCCATCCTGCACGTCTTTCCATCAAAGCACTTATCCAGCTGTCTGGCTCTTGACCAAACTGCCCCTCTTTGGCCCCAGAAACTTCAGCCTCTCTGAAGGCAGGAAGAGTCATTCTGGTCTTTACATACCCACAGTGCCTGACCCATGCATAATGTTTGATTGAATGCTTGATGCTCGACATGAAGATTAAAGTCTAGTAATTGTTTCTTGGCTTCATGTTCTTACCTGTGAATGGAATATTTGCCTTTCATTTGTAACATTAGTAATTTTAAAATATTAAATGATTAAAATACTAAGGTCAATTTGATCTTTTATCAGATTTATGACTTCAAGTTAGGCAACCTATTATTTTAAGTATAAAATAGCAAGTTTATTCTCAGTGCATGGGAACCCTTTTTAAAGATCAAAATAGATTCAGATAAAAGATTGACTGATGTTTTGAATAAATGTCCAGAGAGGCTGGCCAGTGATGGGAAGGTTCTGTTGCCACCCCGTGCTCCCTAAGAACTTAAAGGCTGTTCAGACACAGACATGGCCTGGTACAAGTTCTAAGGACTCCCCCTGCTGATGGAAAAAGGTGCAAACTGTAGCAGAATTCTCCTTTTATTCAGTTCTCACTCTCTGAAATCTGGGCAGCCAGAATTACTCCTCTGCTTTTACTTCACTACGACTGCATAGAATTCCTTCCATGTTTTTGACAATTCTCAAATTTCTCTTGAGATTAGTTATCCCATTATCTTCCTTTTAAAAACAGGTAAGCTTTTTTTCTAGTCATCTAAATTTTTAAAAATCAAATTATAATGTTCATGATGTAAGCTTAATTAAGTTCTGAAAAATAAAAGTGGAACCATTTCATATAAAAAGCACAAGTAAATTGTAATATTTAACAAGATTATTGACTTGATATTTTAATCCTCTTTTTTGCTTATCCACTCTATTTCAAGCAGCTGTGGGCATATTTGATATAAAATACTCTGGAATCAATAAATGCTGCTTTATGCCAAATAGGGTTTTTTTTTTTTCTTTTAGAGGTATGGGCGGTGCCCATGCATAACTTGGAGATTTGAAGCAAACAAATAAAAAAAAGCACTTTGTTTAGTGACCATTGTGATATCTGCCTTAATTATTTTGCCTTAATTTATGATACTATAGAGTTAGCAAAGTAAATAACAAACTGTTAATGTTGATTTGCCTATTTATTAGAGGAATGGCTTTGTGTTAGGTACCCTGCCCTTTGACACATAATACTCAGTTTATTCTGAGTGCATGAGAATTCTCTTTAAACCCCAGAATAGGATTTGGAACAAGTTAATTTCTTACTAACGTGTACATAGTCATTCTGCACCCCTCAATATATATATATATATATATACTCATGTGGATAAAGAAGGGCTACTAACAAAAGAAAAAAATCCTTTAAGGTATTTCTCTCTCATTTTCTTTTCTTAGAACCATATCAAAAGTGTGAAAACTTTCTTTACTGGACATCACATAACCACAGAACTCACTCTAGCAAAGTGGTACTATGTGTTGACATATTTGCCTTAGAGAATCTTTGACATAATGGTAAATGTCCTGATATCTTCTAATCTGATCACTAAACTTGCTAAGACCAAGGGATGGATCAGAGGGTGGATAGAAGACAGGCTCACAGTCAAACTCTTTTAATGATAAACCAACAAATCAACATTTCTTTCCTTTTTCACTTAGTCGGGCCTTACCCCAATCCATGTTGCTGCCTTCATGGGACATGTAAATATCGTATCACAACTAATGCATCACGGAGCCTCACCAAACACCACCAATGTGGTAAGTATTCTTTTAACAAAGAAGGTTCAATTGTGAATATTTAAGAAACTGACATAGGTTGCTTTTATTTGCTCAAAATAATTGCTATTTAATTTGACCACTTAAAAAGATAGAATTTGAGAATTACCTTTGCTCTCCTTTACTTTGAAGATAAGATGCAGTCAGTTGCTAGTTGGCCACAAATTGTTATAATTTATGGACTATGTCCATTACCGTTACAAGTACATTATTACTGTACGTTATGTTTTTAAAAATAAAGTATTGGGGCTGGGGTTGTGGCTCAGCAGTAGAGCACTTGCCTAACACATGTGGGGCCCTGGGTTTGATCCTCAGCACCACATAAAATAAATAAATAAATAAAGGTATTGTGTCCAACTATACCTAAAAATAAATATTTAAAAAAATAAAAATAAAATAAAGTATTAGGCAAATTCTTCTATAACTGAAACCATAAAAAATGAGGTTAAAAAAAGCAATAAAATGTTGTGAAGGTGGTTCAGACACTATCATTTATATTAAGAAGTAATTGCAAGTAACTTCAAAGTAATCTCTATTAAATGTCCTCCATCTTATAGCAAACCTATGGAACTGAGATTTCAGGTTTTCCAGTGGCATTGTTTCCCCACAGTAAGCTTTGCTGCCAAACCCAAGAGACTTACTTCAGAGTAAATATCAGAGCAGTAACTTACCACCCTTGATGTGCATGTGGAATTTGGTATTGTTTTATAGAATTTCAAACATGATATTATCAAAGTGTTAGCACACTGGACCACAACTATTAGAACACTCATTGGACTCATGAACACTAAAGAAGTAAAAGTAAATAATATCTGGATCAGAAGGGATAAGCCATGAAGTCTTGCATACTCACCTTGAGAACAGCCTTACCTATAGGACTATTTATATTCTAGAATTTCCACTAGCCACCTCCACAGATAGAAACAGACCAGTTTCTCAATTGAAATATAGTCTACTAAATCTGGAGTTATGAGTGAGTTATTTTTTCCTTCCCAAATAGAACACAGGGTAATAAACTAAACAACATCCTTAATATCTTTCCCATAATCCAGTAATAAGTTTCCTGTGAAATATGTCTTCCTCTGTCCTTCCATACAGATAGAGGACCCATTATACAAAGATTAATTTATAAAAACAAAATATTAATAGGCATCACTTGTGTGAAAAATAAAATTTTGATTTTTATTATTTTTACATGTTTTCTATCTCATTTTCATTTTTATTAAATAAACAAATAATCTGAATGAAATCTGTTTAGTGAAAAATGTGAGGAAGGGATGGTCCACTGACAAAGAAAATGGTCCCTTCGGGTAATGCCAAGGACTAAGTTTACTGTTCACATAAAGCGGAGGATGCAAAGGAACCAGAGATGAGCCTTGTCTGGGTTGGGGCATGTTTTTTTGGTGCCCATGTTTTAGTCAGCTTTTTTGTTGCTATGACCAAAAAGATCTGGTGAGCAATTTTATGAGGAAAACTTTATTGGGTGCTCACAGTTTCAGAGGTATCAGTCCATAGAGGACTTCCTCTGTTGCTCTAGGTCTCAGTAAGGCAGACCATCATGGTGGAAGAGGAAGGAAGCTCAGGACATTACAATAAGGAAGAAGAGAAAGTGTTCCACTTGTCAGTGACAAAATATATACCCCAAAGGCAAGCCCCCAATGCCCACTTCTTCCGGCTACACCTTACCTGCCTATAGTTACCACCCAGTTAATCCCTATTAATGGATTAATGCACTGATTTGATTACAGCGCTCATGACTCAATCATCTCACCTCTAAACTTTCTTGCATTGTCACACAGATTTGGGGAGATAACCTAATATCTAAACCATAACACCATGCAATGTTTTGTTTTTAATTCTGATTTTGTAATCAGCATTAAGAATTGAGAAGTTTACCCAGATATCCAGACTGCCAATCAACTTTTTGACAACACAAGGTGTCAAAAAACTCTTCAGGTTGGCATCTTGAAGAGTTACAACAGCAATCTGCAGCTGCAAGGTGGTGGCTGCCCCTTTTAGGGAATGTGTGGAACTCTCTTGTTAAGTTCTCCCCACCTGTTTTGCTTCCTAGACTTACTATTCTACTTGGCCCCACTGAACATTCACCTTTTCAACCCTACTAAGGCCATTTTGTAGATTACGTTTCTGATACTGTCAGTGACAAGATTTCCTAGGGTTACACCAAAGTCTCTACCATCATGGATCAGTTTCCTATGAAATTTTTATGTATTTGATATCCTAGCTTTTCAATAAGAAAGTGTTTAAAATAGTAATTTTTTTAAAAGGGTCATCCTAAACTTTATGCCAAATAAAACAAGCCACTCCTCTTCAGAGCTTCAGTTAATTTATTTTGGCTCATGTTCCCAGAGAGGAGAAACAGCATTGCATATGGCAGCTCGGTCCGGCCAAGCTGAAGTTGTGCGGTATCTGGTACAAGACGGAGCTCAGGTGGAAGCTAAAGCTAAGGTATGTGCCATACATGGAACCATTTGCTATTGAGGAAAAAAATCTTGGATTTTAACAAAACTTTTAGACACATACATGTTATCTTTCAATACCATTTTAAAATAATGAACAACCTCTAGTAACAAAAGTTTCTGCCCAAGTAATATTGTAAAAAAAAAAAAATCCCTTCCCTCCATATTTGTTCATTCAGTTATTTAATATAATTATGTTAAATAAAAATATTATGCCAGAAACTGTCCTTGTGACACTTTCTAGTCCCTAACAGATCCAGACTTGGTCCAGAGTTTTTCACACTACATGAAGAAGGGCTTATGTGCAAAGATTCCAGAATAAGCACAACGTGAAGCATGGTTAAGCTATTTTGGTTGATTCATATGTCAGCTGGTACAAAAGGAAAACAGATGATTTTATTTTTTCTCTGTAAATCGTGACACTGTAATACCTGAGACCCAGATTAGAGCCACTTCAGAGATCTACCTTTACATGTAAGAAGAATGTCAGGGTTGATTTTGGATGCTTCCTAGTCTCCCTGGTGTTTAGCCTCCAGTAGAAACCCACTTGCAAGTTTTATGATAGACAGTTGGTCTGATTATCAGAATGGCAGTTCAGGTCAAAATCTTAACAAGTACATAAAAACCTTACCATTAAATTTTTAATTATAATATATAAATTTTCATTTATTGCCACTTGTATAAAGTACAAGTGCATAGATTCAGGTTAATTAGTAATTTGAGTATACAGTATTTTCAGACTTTTATAATTTTCCCCCTGTATTCAGCTATCTCACTCATAGCTAATTTAGCCAGAAATTTTTAATGAACTTATATCAAGGCCATGAAACTTTCAGCTTATTCCTAGGGAAAAATAAAGCTTTTCCTTTCATACTCATATTTTACCTATTACATATTGCTTAAATATATAATTAAGTAGGTGCTCAGTAGGTATACAAATATAATACAAGTATAGGACAATCTAGTAAAATAATTAGTACCTGTATAGTGGTATGGGAATAAGCCACTGGCTCTTTATGAACATGAAATCCAGTTAATTGCAAAGGTTGTCAAAAAAAAAAATCTTGATTGTCTAGTGTACCATGGGCCAGTTGGTGGATCCCATTCATGATCTGGAAACAGGTCAGCAGGCTCTTCCTGTAAAGAGGCTGATAGTAAATATTTTAGGCTTTGCAGGGTCTGTCACAGCTTCACAATACTGCCATTGTAGTGCAAAAGCAGTGGCAGACATCTGTGAATGGACATGACGGTGTTCCAATAAAACTCTACTTACAAAAAATATGTGGCAGCCAGATTTGGCACCTTCATTTTAATTTGCTGACCTCTGATAGAGGGTTTGAGTTATTTCTCTAAATTAGTTAAATGGAATGACTAAGAGAAGCTGTAATCTACCATAGATTATAAGAAACTTCATATTCAAGAGTTTGTTACATATTAAACATCTTGTCTAGGGAATGATTTCATAGACATATTTATACATATTTTATACATAATTTATACATATTATTTCATTAAGGAGGAAGTATGTTTAATTGTCAAGGGCCTGTTCTTAACCAGAATGCTTGGGCTTGAATCTTGGTCCACAATTTAGTAACTATGTAACATTGGGCAAGTTAATTAACAGCCATGTGCCACGTTTTCTCATTTAAAGTCCTCATATAGAAAGTGGGAACAATGTTTGTTCCAATTCATAGGATTTTTGTGAAGATTAATGAAGTAATGTAGGTAAAGTAGTTTAAACAAAGCTGGAAAACAGTAGGTGCTCAGTAGGTATTTGGTGATTGTAATGGCAGTAATAGAAGGAAAAATTTTTCCTTGATGCCTTTTTCTGTTTTCAATATTCCTCTTCTTCTTTGGGGGCATTCCTCTAACTTCTCTTATGCATTCTAGTCAAAGGGGTAATGTAGCCCTTTGACCTTGTCACTCATCCAAAACAGTGGCCTATATTCTACACTCTGTACCTTCCTGGCTTAAAATATTTACCTAAACTTGTATCACATTTCAGTAGGGAATTTCTTTTTGGAGGACTGTCACAGGGCATCTTTGGGCAAATTAGGAAGAAGTGGTACTTGGGGATAAGGCCCTAAGGGCAAAGCACTTGGTAAGCACTTTATACCTTTGGATGGATTGTAACAATGTGGCCCTCCATTCTGGGCATATGCACACCAGAAGCATGGCTTGGTACCAGAGTATCAGCTTCCATCATCCCTCCTGGCAAAACCTTGGCTCCTAGACACCTGCACAGGCTGATACTCCCCTTTCCCTTTGCTTTTCTCAATGAGAAGGCAAGCACCAATAAAATCATTCATTCCATGAATGCATAATAACCAGTACAGATACGTGAGTTTTACTAGAATCTCAGGTATATGAGTTTTACTAGAATCCATTCTCTTATCTTCCAAAAAAGGAATCACTAGAGGTTGAAAATTGATACTCTATAGCATGTTGTAATGGTGATAATCTATAGATAGACCCACCTTTCAGTTTTCATGTTAATAGATCCACCATCCCCACATTTCTAAACCTTGTAGAAAACGATAAATGAGATTCCTATTAACATTGAATCAAAGAGTTTAATGTGCCTCCACCATCAAGCAGCTAATGTTCCCTGAATTTTTCATATGGCACCATTGTTTTCTGAGTTCATCAGTCTCATATTTCTACCTTGCCGTTTAGGATGACCAAACCCCACTCCACATTTCAGCCCGACTGGGGAAAGCAGACATAGTGCAACAGCTATTGCAGCAAGGAGCATCTCCAAACGCAGCCACAACTTCTGGGTACACCCCCCTCCATCTTTCAGCCCGAGAGGGGCATGAAGATGTAGCCGCATTCCTTTTGGATCATGGAGCATCTTTATCTATAACAACAAAGGTAGGAAAATAAGTCTCAGAATCCTGCTGGGTCCCCCAAAGTACATCCTCCTCAAGGTTCCCTGCATGTAATAGGTACAGAACTCCACAACAGCATCTATACTTGGATCCCAGGGTAGTCATAACATGGCCAGTAAAACCCTGGTGTGCAGGAGGATAGTTCTTTGTATTTGGGGAAGGTTTTTATTTTGGTCTTGAATTTCCCAGTATGTGACCTTGTAATAAATATTACTGATATGTAGAATCAGAGATTTCTTGCAAGTTATGTGATTAACTTAAATTATAGTTTGAAAACATAGTTACCAATTTCTTGTACTGAGCCAAAGTACTGAAACCCCATATCAAACCCTATATCAGTTGATGGATGCTTTAAAAAAAAAATTTCAAATCAAGATTTTTTTTAATTTGTTGTTTCTATTCTTTTTGTTTCATCGTTGTTATGTTTGATTTAAAAAAAAAAAAGAACCTCTTGATATCAACTGGGCTACAGTTGTTGTACATGTACAGAGCACAAAATTGGAGCTCATTTTTCTTGTGATACTACATAAACTTAGCAAGTGTAATAGCAAGATGAATGGTCTATGGTGTGTGTGAAAAAAACTTGCAATAGGTGCTGCAATATTTGATTTGGATGCAGATAAGGATTAATGTGAAATCAATGTAGAAGATAATTACAAATACTTAGAAAACCATCTGAATAAATGATAACTACCTCAAACTTTATCTCCCATGATTCTTTTGGCCTCTTAAATAGAGTTAAGATGCAAGTTCCTGGATCTCATTTCATATGTGAAACAGAATAATGGGTGATGGATTTGGGGTGCCCCTGACCTTCCACCATACCAGCTGACCATTGGCTCTTGTTTGCTGCAGTCTCATGGGTCATATATGTTGATAACCCTCCAATTCCTGATGCATGCTCCAGACCCACCCTAATGGTGCATGCTAACTGACTGGTTGATCGATAGATGGAAGAATAGAAGAGCAACACAAATTATGAGCATCCAGTGTCATTACTCAGCTCATCTATAGAGCAAATGTGAAAGATTTCCGTTGCCTACTCCTAAAGAGTGGAGCATGATAAGGACATTGTGTGTATTCATAGAGCAAGTTCCCAATCAGGTGATGTGAGATTACAAGAGGCTCAGACTTGGGGTGGATTTTCCAAACCCTCCAACTTGGATCTGGGTCCCCATAAAACTATTCTTCCCACAATGTAAAGCCCCAAAATGGCCATAGAATAACTCCAGATTCAGCTCCCCACCTTCTTCCTGATGAGACACCTGATTAGTTCCAAAATTAGTGGAATGTTATGGTTTAGTCAGCAGAGGAAGAAAGATTCTCTTGTTGGGTGTTCCTCTTCTCCCAGGTACTTGTCTAATAATCTTGATTCTTACTTAGAGATTTAACGTCGTCCTCACTAGAATACTTTTTCAGTTACAGAAAAACAATGGCCTATGTCATTTCTGTTGTTCTTTATTTTTTTTTCCTTTTTTAGAAAGGATTTACTCCTCTTCATGTGGCAGCAAAATATGGGAAGCTTGAAGTAGCCAATCTCCTGTTACAAAAAAGTGCATCTCCAGATGCTGCTGGAAAGGTATGAGGTCAACATCAACTTGTACCAGAACACTTCCATTGATAACAAAAAAAGCACTTGCCAATATTCCCCAATAGCCAACTAGATGACAACTAAATTATATTTAAGTCCCAGTAGGATGAAGAATTCTTGGGAAATGGGTGAATGTTTGGTCCAAGTTTTATGAAAGTGGAATATAAACTACAACCTATGTTATACCCATTCTAATCCTATTTCCTAAATGTAGACCTGGACTCTCCTATTAATACACTTTTGACCCTGGTTGTTGTTTCTGCACGTGTTTTCAGAGCGGACTAACTCCACTGCATGTAGCTGCACATTATGATAATCAGAAGGTGGCCCTTCTGCTTTTGGACCAAGGAGCCTCACCTCATGCAGCAGCAAAGGTACCTGTAACTCACACCATGAAGAGGACGATACACAGTATCTATCTGTGTGCACACTGAGTTTCATTCACTCTCACCATAGCACCCTCCTCATTTGGAAATCACTTAAAAAATCATAGAAATAGAAGCTCCTACGGAATCGGGGCCTTCGGCTATTTAGTCAACTAATGTGGTAGATGCTCCAACAAATATTTACGTGTCAGTTGATTTCCCTTGGAAATCCAGAACATCCTGAAGCCTGGGGAAGAAAAGAAGTTGGAGTTTTTAGCCAGATTAAAAACATAAGCACAGCCTGAGGTGACACAGTAAGAAAGTTCCAATTTGTCAAAATTATAAAATACATACTCTGTTTTTCTAGCAATAAAACATTGCTATCAGGTTGCTTGTGTTTCATGAAAGGAGTTGGAAGGTTTTGCATGTGTGTTTTTATTATCACTAGAAGGAATCCTCATTATTGTTAGGGCATTTTGAAGAGTAGACATCTTAGATTTGTGATAAAAAAGAATATAGTGTATGTAGCCACTTTATTATTCTGGTATTCTGATTTGAGAGGCTAATCATAAAGCAGAGTTTATTTAAAGATGAATTAATAAAGTGCTACTGGATTAGTATATTCCGCATTATTGAGCAGATGATTATGATCAGAGAATGCTTAAATAATGCAAACCATAATTTATCTTTAATTTTTATAGCTTTTTTATTGGTACATTATAATTATACATAATAGTGGTATTCATTGTTACATATTCATACATGCATACAACATAATTTGGTTAATTTCATTCCCAGAACCTCTCCCTTTTCTTCCCCTCCACAAACAACATTTTAAATATTACCTATTACTACATCCTGTTGGTTGAAAACCCTTTAATGATCCTAGTGCTTTTTTGCCTCTTTGTTTTACCATTTCATTTTGGAGGAATTTCTGTACTCGCCCTTAAATTTAATGTTTAGATCAAATCAATTGTATACACAGATAACTAACCTGTTCTAGGTTACTTTAGATACTTTAAGAAAGTTCTAGTGACTTTCTCCATATGGAAAATATGAGTGTTTCTCCTCAGAACATTTTTCGTGCTTTTTTTTTTTTTTTTTTTTTTTGCTACTTAAACATTAAGCCACATCCCCAGCTCTTTTTCTTTTTTTTTTTTATTGTGAGACAGGGTCTAAGTTGCTCAGTGTCTCACTAAGTTGCTGAGGTTGGCTCTGAACTTTCAATCCTCCTGCCTCAGCCTCTTGTCCCACTGGGATTATAGGCATGTGCCACCACACCAGGTTTCCTTCATTCTTAAATCATTTCCTGCCTCATCCCCTCCAGAACCATACCCACTGAAATAAATTCAAAGCAAACCTCCTGAAACCTGGTTTTTGTCTATATGTGACCCCTACCATATATTCTGACATTGGCAAATATTTGGTCTGTTGTGAAAAAAGTTTATCAAGCCCTGCTAAGCCTTAATAAAACTTTATCTTGAAAAGTTAAAAAAAAAAAACATTATTCACAGGGCCAAGAGATGGAAAGAGCCCAAGTGTCCATCAGTGTATGAATAAATAAAAATGTGGGCCATGTATATGTAAACCCACACATGTGAGTATGTGTACATACACACAATGGAATATTATTCAGTCTCAGGACAAATATTATATGATTTTACTTTTGTGGTACATAGAATAGTCACATTTAGAGACAGCAGTAGAATAGTGGTTGTCAGAGATAGGTGGAAGGAGGAAATGAAAGTTAGATTAAATGAATACCGAGTTTCAGTTTAGAAAAATGGAGAAGTTCTGCAAATGGGTAGTGATGATAGTTGGAAAACAGTTTGAAGGTGCGTATCAGCACCAATCGGTACACATAAAAATGCTTCAAGTGTGAAATTGTTATATATATTTTACTATAATTTTTTAAAACATTTTTTGAGATGCTTGGGATCAAGTACAAGGCCTTGCACATGTAAGAAGCTCTCTACCACTGAGCCACATCCAAAGCCTTACCATAATTTTAAAGAATGTAATGGTTGTCCATTTAATTTCAATATCCCAGTGCAAGCAGGCTCCTTGCCTTGTAAGTAACCTCAGAGTTTTGAAAGGTAACAAGTAACTATTACTCATATGGAAGTAATGTTGGTACAACTAGTGCCAAGCAGTTTATAGCTGACAAAAGTTATGTGTGACAAAATGAATCCAATCCATCTTTCTGTCCACGAATAACTCTTACACAGGTTAATAGTTGGTATCATTTGTAATTGATTGCAGCTTTACATTTGTCAGATAAAATTTGGTATTCATGGTTCCATATTTGCAAACCGTCTTTTGACAAAGAGTTAAAGAGCAGTTCTTTAAATAACTCCTTATAACATTCCATTAGCCTCAGGCATATATTTTACAGTCAATTAAACACAGGCTTTTAAATGGGACATTGATTCTCTTTCCTATTGCACAGTTGCCTTGCAAGAGCCTGTGTAATGCCATCTCTGGCACACATCCAACCATCCCCATCTTCTAAGGCAGTGATACTGGTCAGGGACTTATTCTAGACTTTGATCCTGAGCAAAGGTAGTCAGTCGTATCAGGGATTGGCTTTGACTGCTAGGAAGTAAACAAAACTTTAAACCAAAAAAACCCAAAACCTCCAAATCCCATTATTTTAATAATGAGGAGGAGCCTGATGAGGCTCCATATTTCTCGTGTCATTAAGAGTCAGGAGGTAGGCAAGGCAGCTGTTGATGCTGGTTTAGTTGTTGGTTCAGGCAAATTCCTCCAGTTTTTGTTTTGTTTTGTTTTGGGTCCTTTCTTTTAGAGGTGGCTAGAGCACAGGCTGCCAGCAGCAAGGCAACAGGCAGAAAGAAAGTCAGCACAGCAGGGCTTTCTCAGAAACTCCACCCACCCCTTCCCTACATCTCATTGGTCACTTCTATTTGCATGGGAAGCTGGGAAATGTAGTTTGTTAGCTGGATTCCCTGCCAGATGTTCCTTCGCTAAAGGAAGGAGAATGAAAGGAGACTAGGCAGTCTTTACTCCAGGGAAGCTCTTTTTGGCAGTGATGAAAAGTGAGGGACAAAGCCTCAAGAGAGCATGATTACCATGTGGGTGTCTCCTCTTCCTTAGATCACATCCTCTGTCTTTTAGAGCATCCAATACATTCTTACTTTTCTTCCCTTCTTTAAAATTGCCAATGTGTTTTCTTACTCCCATATATTCTATAAATATGATGTGATTTAGGTAAAATAAAGTAGATGGGCTGCTGTAATCCAGCCAATTTTAGCCAGCTCAGTTTCGTGAGACAGGAAACTGTGCTGGAAAGAATATTGGCTTGAGTTCAGGCATAACCTGGACACTAATTATGGAAGAGATAGTGAGCTTTATTGTTATTTGTCAGATTTCTATTAGATAAAATATGCAAAATGTCTGTGGATATAGGTAAGAATATTTATGAAAAATATTGGAAAAAAATACATAAATACTATGTATTACTTTGATGATTTAAAATTACATTTGTTTTAATTGTGAGATGCAAAGGTACACATGACAAGTCTTTTGTCTCCTACATCAAGAGGAAAGAAATAGAGACTAAGATTATTCTGTAATTGAATCTCTTCCTATTTTACTTATCCAGTTAATGCATCTTCTTCATTTAGTGTGGCAAGTAAAACCATTTTACTTTCCATAAAATAGAAAGAATTTAGATAATTTAGGAAGAAAATTTACAGGTCTCAGAGAAACTTCATTATTTGAAAATATTTCTTTAGTCATTCTAAGATAATTTCCCATTCTAAAACAATGCCATGAATCATTTTTCCCTTGTTCTGTACCTTCCTTTGTGTCTCAGGTAAGGAACTCAGGATAAAATCCTAAGCAATAGTAAGGAACTTATCTGGAACTGGCATACATTACAGAAATACCAGAGCACCCCTTTATAATAGGTCCTGGTCCTAGGACTTTTTAGTAATGGAGAAGACTGTCATATCTGAGAGGATATGCCTTTCCTCAGTTAGGTATTGAAAAGTGACTAACCTGAAGGCTGTGTCTGTCATAAAATCAAAAAGAAATAAGATTCTGGATAAGAAGCTTCTGTCTTGACCTTGCCTTTACCTCTCTAATTTGCTTTATGAATCTTCTAAGTTGTGGAGGATGGTGAAACGGCTTACCCCTCCTATTTCTCATTGTGTTGTTGGCTTCACTCCAAATCTCTGCATTGGACTCTGCAGGCAAACTGGTCTCTGAAGGGTGTGTCTGAGCAGAGGGCCAAATGCTTCCCAGGGCAGCTGGGGTTTACAGATGGCAAGAGGTCAGACTAAAAATAGGGATACAAAGTGTTCTTCTACACTGGCTTATCCAGTTTGGCAGAGGCTGGTTTCAGAAGAGTCTAGCAGTAACATTTCCACTTTCCATTTCCATTTTATATGGTCAGATTCAAGTTCATATCGAAATGTAATCTTGCATTTCCCTTAAATGACTGTGAACTAGGGCAAAGAACCCAGAGCTTTCTCGGGTCAGGAGCCTTTAGAGTTTCCTGAGGTGTGGCTAATTAACAATTTATCAAAAGAATTGTGGTTGACGGTAGCGGAGTATCAGGGCTCAGCCAAGAGAAGGAAGCCATAATGTTCAGAAAGCTATTATACACTTGATTCAAATTCTGAAGATTACTTTCTTCGTTTAATCAATATGTACCAGTTATTGTGGGCCTCTGGAGGTACAGTCAGGTCCAAAACAATATGTGCCCATCACAGATTTATATTTTAGGAAATATAGGCTCATACATAAACAAAAGAATGCCATTGAATGTCCCCAAGACTAATTATAGTCAAGTTGAGGGCCTGATTATTGGGGTTTGGACAGTGGAAAAATATAGAAGACTTCATTGAGGGCATGGCCTTTGTGCTTCACTTTCAACCGAGAGATACTGGCCTCATGGGCATGTTGGGGAAAAGTATTCTTGATAGAGTAAGGTAAGGCAGAAAACATGAGAATGCATTTGGTTAAAGACCTGCAGGATGACCAGTCTGACTAAAACAGAGCATAGAGTCTGGAGTTTTGTGAAAGAGGAAATCAGATAGGGAAACAAGTAAATTGTAGCATCTTGACTACCTTGAAAATATCAAATTGCCACCTGTAACCAATACACGGTGTCTTATTCCTTTTGGTGCTACTATAAAAGGATACCTGAGACTGGGAATTTTATAAAGAAAAGATTTATGTTTTACAGTTCTAGAGGCTGGAAAGGCAAAAGTAGAGGGATCCATGCCTGGTGAGGAGCCTTCTTGCTGTTTCATCTTGTGGCAGAAAGCAAAAGCGCAAGATAGAAACAAACTGAACTCGTTCTATTATCAAACACCCACTTCTGGAGAAAACAGTATAAAGCCATTCATGGGAGCAGAGCCCTTGTGACCTAATCACTACTTACTGGTCCCACTTCTCAACATTGTTGCATTGAGAATTTAATTTCTAATACATGAATTTTGGAGGGTGTATTCAAATTATACTAGGTGGCCATTTAAGGAAAGGATTTTGGGAATGAAATTTTGAATGGCTCTCAGCATGCCTCAATGATATCATATTGCTTGTTGTTTCCCAGTAGGGATGCATCCTATTCCTAATTGAAATAAAGTAAGCAAGCTGCAAACAGTGGCACACACCAGTAATCCCAGCAACTTGTGAGGCTGAAGCAGGAGGATCACAAGTTTGAGGCCAGCCTCAGACACAGTCAAATAAAAAATAAAAATTGCTGGTGATGTGGCTCAGTGATAGAGTACCCAGGTTCAATCCCTAGTGCCAAATAAATAAAGTAAGTAAGTATTGAGCACCTTCTAACCTAACTACCTATCAGAGGGAAATCTGTATTCCTTTTGAAAACCCACAGTACCCTCTTTTGATAAACTGTCTATATAATGTTATCCCTTCTTAGGAACAGAGGAGACAGGAGAGTGCTACATTACTGACACCACTTGATTTGATAGTATTTGCTTACTTAATTGTAAATTTTTAAAGCAGTCAAAACCACTAGAAAAGGGAAGTATGCTATTTGAAAATGCATTTTTATCTTGTTACTGGGAATGTGACCAAGTGGTTCTTGTTGACAGAATGGTTATACGCCGCTGCACATTGCTGCCAAAAAGAACCAGATGGACATAGCGACGACTCTGCTGGAATATGGTGCTGATGCCAACGCAGTTACCCGGCAAGGAATTGCTTCTGTCCATCTCGCAGCTCAGGAAGGACACGTGGACATGGTATCGCTGCTCCTCAGTAGAAATGCAAATGTGAACCTGAGCAATAAGGTAACCTTTCTCTTGCCCTACAAATCATGCAATACAGAATTTCACTCCTCAGAAAAGACGTTAAATGTTTGCGAAAAATCTGGGTCAAACAAAATGTGTGAGGTGTGATATTGCACAGAGATGTTTACTAAAGTGTTATTTACCATAGCAAAAACTTGAAAACAGTCTATTTAAATAATAGAATGGCAAATAAACAATCATTTAATTTTAGTATATATGTACATGGCTCTACAATAGGAAGAACCATAAAAATAAGGTCCACAAAGTTTTTGTAATAATATGAGAAGTTTTGGGTCTGTTAATTCAAAGTGGAATGTTGTTACCTCATTAGAACACTGCAAATAAGGAATTGGAAATTGTAGCTTGTTGCTTTATTCCGCAAACATTTGAGGGGCTTTTTTTTCCTTGACTGTCTCAGTTTTAAGTCTTAAGTTAGAGAAATTGGAAACATTGCTGTCTTTAGTAAGTTCATTTTAATAAAAGAAATTCAAAGTAGCTATTTTAGTGAATACATAGGAAGTCCTTATATTACAAGTCTAGTGTTTGTTTAAAAATTGGCTGGTTCCATAGTTTGGCTGTTGTGTTCAACACCTTTTAAGAAGAAAAAGAATTATCTCCACTTGGGAAAAAGGTCACTCTGTGCTAACCTGAATTTTTCCAACACTAAAATTTAACAAATTCTCAGGGCTGGGGTTGTGGCTCAGTGGTAGAGTGCTTGCCTAGCATGCATGAGACACTGGGTTCCATCCTTGGAACCATATAAATATGTAAAAATAAAGATGTTGTGTCCACCTAAAACTTAAGAATAAATATTTGAAAAAAATTAACAAATTCTATAAGCCAAAATTCATACATAGGTGACCAGAGAAAACCTTTTTTAGTTTTAGCAACTTGAAAAATCCTTTTTGATTTTCTGATTATTGAACAATCACATTCTTTAATTTTGTTCTAGTGTAGGGATTTGATTTTCTAACATTTTCCTTTTGGAAATGTTCCTTTCAGGAATGTATGTCTCAAAATAATGGGAATCACAAACCAATTTCAAAGTCATGATCATTAGGATTAGTTTGTGGTTTTGAATTTTGTAAGTTTTATATACCAATTTATAGATCAGCCTTATAATATTTTGCTGCACAATTCAACTTGTCTTGATGACAAGGTGTTGCCTTTCTCAAATTGAAGTACATTCATTTACTAGATTTTATTTTTTTCCTGTGAGCCCAGAATATTGCATTTTATTCATCCTACCAGATATAATCAATCATCTAGCATCTTATCACTTTAAAAGTGGCTATTTTTAGTAGATTTCATATCAAACTAGTATAACTGGCTTTTTGCTTTAAAATCCTTCAATCAACTGGCCTTATATTCACCCTAAAGTCATACGTTGTTTTTAGGCTGAAAAGATTTTAGGGGGGAAATTATTCATGTTTCATTTAGTAGACTAGAAAGTAGCAACAGAATTCTGAAGATCAAAAGACATGGATAGTAAATCATGAGAAATGAATAAACCTGGAGAATTCTGTCTGCCTTCTTGAATAAAAGATGCATAAGCAGAGGTGTGCTAAGGAGAGTTTAGAAAATCAATGGGCTTCTCACTAGCTTGTTGGACAAACTTCATGATTCCTAGACTGTGCATACCAAAAGACGATGTTTGAAAATCTGCATCCTTTGTCAGTTGTAATTTTCTATATAAAGTACAGGTTGGCTATTCCTAGCCAAAATGCTTGGGACCAAAGGTGATTTAAATTTCAAATTTTTTCCGAGTTGGAATATTTTCTCATATATAATTATAATGAGGTATCTTGAGGATAGGACCAAAGTCTAAATACAAAATTCAGTTGTGTTTCATGTGTACTTTATACACATAGTCAATCTTATAGAATGTTTTTAATAATTGTGTAAATGGAACAAAGTTGGCGTATGAAAGCTGCAGGGCCTATTCCCTTGGGAATACCAAATCAACTGTGTTGCACATCTACATTTTTACTGACCAGTCCCGTGAAGTCTGAGTGGAATTTTCCACGTGTCATGTTGTGTTCTGCCAGTACTCTTAATGAGAGTTTTGGATTCGGGAGCATGTAGGATTTTTGGATTAGGGATGTTCAGCCTGTATTCAGTCTTCCCGGATATGAAAACAGAAAAGCGGCATGAGTTTATCGTTGGATAAGGAGCCCTCTGACAGTTTTTTCTGTTAGTTTTCCCTGAGCTGTCAGTTTTTTAAGCATCAATTCATTACTGTACCGTCCACTCCTCTTACCCCTACCCTTCCCACCTAACACTAGACTTTACTTCATTGCTAAAATATAACCATTAAAAGAAAGATTTAGATTTTATGAAAATTTATTGTCAAGACCATTTACTAATTTTACTTATTTCCTTCCTGACTCGCAACAAGCAGTCTCCCAGCGGTTTTAAGGAAAAGAGATCTTGAATGCCAAGTTATCACTGAAGTGCTAATGTTTAATTTGACTCAGTTTTGCTGTTTCCTATTTTCCCATTCCGATTTTACTAACCACAAATACCTGTATCTTTATATAACCAAAAGAATATTAAAGTTGTTGCTGTTCTAAGTTGTCATTTTCTCTCTTATAAATAAATGCCATTTTTAAAATGAGCAGTGATAGAAACTCCATAAAAGATTAACAGGTGACTTCAGAATGGGAGCAGACTATTATAACCTTCATGCTATTTTTATTAATCTTTTTAACCAAAACCATTAAGATAAAAATAAATGTCTAGTGTTTTGCCAAAAGAGGCTTGATTGTTCCTGCGATTTAATAGATGAATGCTGGAATGGATGCGGGATCCCAAACCGTGGTTCCATAAAGATGAAAAGTACATTCTTGACTCAACAAGCTAACAGTGGCTTGAGGAAGACAGACCAAAAGAAAAAAATAATAATGTAGAATTATAATGTCCTTAATAGGAGTGAGCATAGAGGAGTTGTTCCTATAAATATAAGAATTTGGTCATTTAGTGACATGGGAGAAAGACAAAGTTGGGCTTGTCTCTGTGGTCAAAGCAGAGATTGGTCACCC